TACCAATGAGAAAGATTCAACATCCAATGTTAAATGTGAGATGCATTTAGTGATGTTTATGCTATGAAGCATTTATATAACAGACAACTCCTACAAGACAACAAAAGAGTTCAGTTTCACGTATCGTTAGAGATAAACAAAAGCAAAATGTTCCTACAACATAATTACATTTATAAACAACATTACCAAATGTTCATATCAAGGCATTAGGCGGTTTAGAATGAATCATAATAGTTAGGTCTTGCTTGATCCTATATATATATATATATATATATATATATATACACACACACACACGCGCACATATGATCTATCCCTTGCTAAACAACCCATGCCAGTTGGTTGTTAACCAGTTCTAAGGTTGGTATTTGTCTAATTAAAACCGCTTGTAAACTGGCCTTTTTTGGTCAGTTTGAAGGTCAGCTGATTACTCTATCCCTTTTCACCTTTCATTATTTACAAATTACGTTAAGGTTGAGGGACTTCGTTCCTCTTCTATAGTTACAGTAGATCTGTCAGCAGATAGGTATATTAATATATTTGATATTACGTTGTGGTTGCAATCTGGCATATTATTTTGCAATTACAAGTCATCACACAATCTTATTTACATTTAATATCATTTGGGTACATCATAAATTAGATGTAAATAAGCAAAATGTGGATCCTATAAGAACATAAGAAAATCAAACTTCTTAGGAATAAGAAGGCATACTCTCCATTCTTAGTATAAATTCCAGAGTTTTAGATTTCTTAAAATTTTCACCTTTTAAATGGTAATGGTAAAGATATTAAGACCGAAAAATTGTTTATAACGTGAAAGCTGTCTTATTTATTCCGTGTATCAGGAGCGTTTCTAATGCAACACTGTATTATAGGTAGCAAATTTTAAATGCAAATGCCAATCAATCACATAGTGGAAAGCCATAATATATCCTAAAGTGCCAGTTGGCTAACCTAGATAGATTGACACCTGAAAGCATGTCAACTAACTGAACCTATACCTATGATGCATAAGCGTATAGAAATGTAAGGATGATTAAAGTGTAGTATGATATGCAAATTGTTAAACGCGAGTGCCAACTGATCACACAGTGCAAATTGGAAAACCATAATATATTCTAAAGTGCCAGAGAGCTCACCTACAATGATTGACCCTAAAAGTGTGTCTACTAACTGAACCTATGATGCACAAGCGTATAAAAGATGCAAGGATGATTAAAGTGTAATATGATATACAAAAAATGACAAAAGATTCAGTTTTGAAATAGCAGTTGTATCAGTGGATCTAATTCAAATCCAAAGCAAATAATTGCAAATAGGATCAAGAGAATAGAGTTTGTACGTGAAATGCATGAAAGATCATATATATCAATCAAAGGAATCTCTTGCTCAGTCTAGATAGAAATTGGCGTCCAGCTCATTGATTATCTTCTAATTGGTTTCAAGCTTCAGATTTGACTATCACAGGAATAGAAGCATATCAACATTTGAACAAAAGCAAAGATTGAGCCTTTACATTTACTGCTTCAACTAACATAGCAATAGATGTGCGTACATTCTTAAGACTAGATAGAATGCATGTGCATTGTATATGGTCAAATATCTTAATTATTTTTAGTATGTTTATTTCTTTACTATAACAAGATAGCAAAAAAGCTTATGATTATCATAATATATCAATTTTTTTGGATATTTCAATGTGTAAAATATTGCTAGTTTAAACATTTTATCTTCCAGAGAATAGTGAAGTTTAAAGTCTTAAAATATTAATGACTTAAGAGTAATTTCAATAATTTGAAGGACTAATTTCAAAATATTAATGATGTAAGGGACCATTGTCGGACAAAAACAACTCTTATTATTAATTAAAAAATTTCTTGATTTCATCAAAGAAAAACTATTGGTTTTATTTAGTCATATAAGATTTTGTTTAGTTATAAAGAAATCACTTCCATATATTGTTCATAGCAGGGGACCGAGTATTATAGTAATTCAAAAGAATTTTTCTAGAATTTTTCAAGTTAGAATGTGCAAATTCAAGAAAGAAAAACATAAATTATATGATCAATTGCAAAATCTGATATTGTAGTCTTTCTACATCTTCCCAACTAACTAATTATTTTATCAAAAAGATTACTCGCTAGTTTCAGAAAATTATAAAATATAATATGAGAATGATTTGTACATATTATGCACTCATATTGATTATATTTTAATAAAATAATTCAGATCTATCCAGTGTTGGACAACATCTAAAAATTTAGGTTAAGGAGTCTAAAGAATCTAATATACATAACAATAATCATATCCAAGCTATGTACTTCATAAACTTATAAAGATGTAAGCAATATAAAATGAACAATCTAATTTATTTTGTTAAATAATTAGTTACATATCATGAAAAACAAGGAGAATCAGAAGGATCACATACCAATCCTAGATAAAGAGTAAATTTCTTGTAGAGAATCTTATAGCAAAAGATTTTTAAAGTTAATGTATAAGATTAAATTTAAGGACAATAACCCAAATCAGTCAGCTGAGTGATAGACTTGATATAAAATCCATTTTTATAAAATCAATGTCATATGTACCTTAAGCTGTGCTTTGTTTAAAAGTTAATTTTTAGAAAACTCTCCCATCAACTATGAGGGATATGTCAAAAAGACTCCTTAACTATTTGAAATTGAGTAAATCTCCCTCAAGTTTCAGTGATGTAGACAATCCATCTCAACTTCAAAATTTCATTTAAACCCCCTAGACTTTTCTTACTTAACCCTTGTTGAGTCTAATGTATTATGTGACAAGTAATTGACTTGCTAAGACCAAAATGTCCCTCAACCATAACAAAATTACCTTGCCAAATGAAAGAAAAAGAGAAGATGTAGAGGGGAAAAGGAATTTTAAATGGGTCCTAGTCCTTTTATTATAGGTTGAGGGTATTCCATCCAAATCACATATTGAAATAACTATGTTAAGTTAAGGGGGTTTGCTGAGAGAGATATAAAAGATCAGTTGAGTTTTTATGAGACATGCTATAGTTGAGAGTTGTTTTCAAAAATTGCACGAAAGTAGAGAGGGCATATCTACAACACCCCCATAGCTAGGGGATTTTCTCAAATTAAATCAGTTGAGTGGATTTTTTAAGACAATCCCAAAGTTGAGAGGGTTTTTAAAAAAGTAACCCTTCTTTTAAATATGGATTATTTACATACTTGTCCCTCAAATCTTTAATAATCCAATCTTAGTTCCTAAAATAAGGAGAAATTTCAAAATTTTGAGGGAATGAGATAGAATTATTGAAGATTTAAAATCAAGGAACTAATAATACCTAAATAACCTTTAAATATTTGCTCTTATTGACAATGCATTAAATATCGGTCTGTACATCGCTATATAGGTTGATATATCAGGTCAAAGACCTTATCGCGATGATATTTATGGTTTTATATTGTTTTCCTTTTTTGGGATTTTTTTGATATATCAGTCTTTATTGAAAATATCGGTCGATATATCCTTTTAAAGATATCGATAAATTTGAGGCATTTTTAATTTGATTGTGGGTTATGGTTTGGGTCACGTTTGGGAAACCAAACCGGAATCCACTAAAGCCAAAGTTCGTCTCTCGAATCTCTCCACTCTTAGCTCTCCTATTTCTTAAGCATATATCATGATGCAAATTCTTATGTTCAGAATTCATGATATGTTTAAATTACATATTTCAATGTTATCTTATGTATGAACACGATCTCATATGACACCTCAATATTTTTTACCTATCCACGATTTTTGCAATCCGATATGAATTTTAGTTATTAATTATTATATGTTGAATATTATTTGTCAATGAATCACATGCTATTGTTTGTGGTTCACAAATGTTTCAAATCTTTGTAGGCTCAATTGAAATTAAATACCTTATAGTTTACAAAAGCTGCACTTATATACCTCTATTTGTATTTTGCTAAGCTTAAATATGCTAATGTTTTCTAAAGTTGCATGTTTATGCCTTCTGACTTGTTATCTAAATGTAAGAATACTCTGTAATTTTCCTTTATGAGTGTCATGGTGTCATTTTAGGACAATTCTATATTTTCTACTCTTTCCATGAATAACTTGTTAACATGCAATTGTCTATTAATATATTATTATATATACATTACTAATAATTAATATGATACAAAGTTTCACAGTAATGTTGGAAGTTTTAGGGACCAAGCTAAACAAACTTGAAGTGGCATGCAATATAATTAATTAACAACGATAATTTATTTAGTTTAGGATTATAATATAATATCGAAAAAGAATAGGGCTAATATAGTTCATAGAAAGTTTTTCCACAATTCTTACTTTTAAAGGGGGTATGATTTAACTCCAAAGGAAAAGGTGATTTGCAATGTGTTACAGTTTACCGCTGCATGTTTGTTTGTTGAGATGTTAATACCTGCAATCTGGTAAAGTTTGGTTATAATGTGTGCTTCCACATTAAGAGCAATCGTCAATATTAATTAGTTTGATTGCTCATGAAGAGGTTTTTTCTTAAACTTGATCTGAAAAGTTGGTTAGTATTGTAATTTATAGTCTCTGATTTATTAGTTAATTGATGTATAGTTTTACCTTTCTGTTTAGGCACATTTTGTAAATTGATTAGTTTGAGTGATCAGTGATCCATCAATATTGATTGGTTTGAGTATTCCGTGAGAGATTGTCTTAAACTGGATCAACGAAGATTGTTATAAGTTCTGATTCTTTGATTGGTTAGTTAAATTGAGGAATGGTTCTACCTCTTTGTTTAGGCATATTCTGCAAATGTCTATCAAATAAAAGAGCTTTACCACAAATAGAGTTTCTTTTTAGTAGATTTTCCGTCATTGCAACCAATATTCTCATTTTTGTTGGTTTTGCCACAATCCAACATTTGATCTGTAAATACTCTATGCTGTCATAGATATAGATAATAAGCCTCTAGTAAGAAAACTAACGTGCTAATTCTTATGCAGTACACAGAGAAGAACTTGAGGTTTGCATTAACTGTTGAGCCAGAGAATGAAAAGATTAAGCAGAAGCTATTATGGGCTCAAAAACAACGTGAAGCAAACCTGCCAACCATTCCATCCACCATTGCAGAAGAGTTTGAAACAAATCCTTTCATGCGTGTTGATCTACCGGAGATACAGGTTTTCATGCTTCTCAATATATGTTTCCTTTTATTATTCTGATTTAAGGAAATTAATCTCGTGAGGTGTCTTAATCTCTTATTTCCTTACCTCTGTAAATGAAGTAGGTTTTTGTGTTTTGTCCATATATATATATTTTTAATGTCTTGAAATGATTGGCTGGCCATTGTTTGTGTCAACCAACAACTCTAAACATGTGTGAAGCATCAGTGCAGTAGAAATGAGAATATTACAATGTACTTGGATATACAGTAATGATAGGGGCAAGAAATGGGTGCATCATATCAGGTTAGAGGTTGCTCCTAGTGAAGACAAAATGTGAGAGAATTTGCTTGAAATTGTTTGATCATGTGCAGTGCACCAATTTGGGGAAACAATAATATTAAGATTAATGAAAAAAAGATGACTTTAGATAGTCCGAAGACAACTTGGCTAGAAGTAGTTGAGAAAAATATAATGATATTTAATTTAGTGGAGGAGATAGCCTTAAATAGAACTGAGTGAAAACGTAGGATTCTTGTGGTCAGATCCAAAAATTAGGGACAAATGCTTTGTCGTCATCATCGTTGTTGTTTGACTCTTCATTGCCATCTACATCTTTTTGTTTCTGGATGTGAAAGAAATTCCTTGTTGAACTATACTAACACATTTGCCTATGCTTATATGCTCAAGTGTTCTTGATATTTGAACTTTGTCCTTGACATGTGCATCTACTTTCTTGTACTCCATCTTTGCCTTGGGCTTCTTTGATTCATTGAGATGTGCTAGTTGGTAAGCATATAGTTTGCTTAATTTCTTTTCGTTTATAACTATATATATTGATGTGATGATTCTGCTTGATCCTTCCTTTGTATCCGTCATATTTCCACATTTTCTTTTTTCTCCTTTGTTCTTTTGGCTGTCTGTGTTGGTTTGAAAAAATGTGAAAATAAAGAAAAGGAACTAAAAATGAAAAAAAGAAAGAAAACGATAACATAAGATTCATTTGCATGTTTGGTTAGGATGATTTTGAGGGAAAATAGCATTAGTTCAATAAAAATGGGAAAATGAAAAAGAAAGAAAACGATAACATAAGATTCATTTGCATGTTTGGTTAGGATGATTTCGAGGGAAAATAGCATTAGTTCAATAAAAATGGGATTGGAATACAATTAACTTATAATTATTTTACTAATTCTTTCCAAAATAAATCTTAAAATTCCAAGCTTCAAGGTGTTATGGAACTAATAATCTATTTTCTTTACATGGGCGTAAAGTAACTATATAAGTTATATAAGCTAAACATACCTGTGAGGCTCACACATTTTTGTTATTCTTTACTTCGAGCCTACATGAGATAAAAAGTGAGCCTTTGGAATCAAATTTTATTTTCCTAATGGGGCCATGTCTAACAAAAAGGAGGGAGTGCGCTACAGGGTGAAGCCACTGTCATTGTCTCGAATTTTGCTTGAGCAGGTGATCGTGGAAAGGCTCGACTTCATTGGGTTCGAACGATTAAAATGAGAAAAAATTGTAGAGGCTCTTTTTCTCGTGATATCCTTGTTTTCATTTCCTTTTTTTTCTTTCCTTTAATCATACTATAGAGAGTTTTTTCTCATTTTCTTTTCTTTTCTTTCATTTTCATTCAAACCAAACATAGACTTAAATGTCTATCGATTAAATTATCATATTGGTATAGACTAAAGTACTAGATTGGCCTAAAATGTGAAACTCATTTATCATTTTAGAATAAAAAGTGACATCAGCGACACTTTAGCCTAAAACGTGACAAATTAGTGACACAGATATTTTTATTCGTCAGGCAAATTTTAAGGGATAAATTAAGGGATTTTTTTTCATGTATACCCCTCAAATCTCTCATATTTTCATATTTTGCTCATCAGGTTCTAAAATTTATTAAAAAAATTCTCTCCCCCTTCTTACCATCTCCTCCCTCCTCCTCCCCCGCATCTCCCCTATTCTTTTCTCCTCCCAATCCTCAATCTCCTTATCCCCCCCTCCTCCCACCACCTTCCTTTCCCATATCCTCACTCTTACCTCCTTTTCATCTTTTTTCAACTCCATTTTTTCTTAACTTGTTTAACTTCTCTTTCTTCTCTCTTCCTTTCCCATATCCTCACTCTTATCCTCACTCTTACCTTCCCTTTCCTCCTCTCCCTTCTAATGTTTCAGGTAGAATGTTTGATGTGGGTCCAAGAAAGGAAGAGGAGGTTAGGTTTTTGATGGTTAGCGGGTGAAGAGGAAGTGGGTGGAGCAAGGAGGGAGAGGGACTCGGAGAGAGGAAGAGGAGGTTGGTTTTTAAGAGAGTGTTTGATGTTGGCTCGGAGAGAGGAAGAGAAGGTTGAATTTTTTTAATAAACAATTGGAGGGTGAAGGAGTGAGCAGAGCAAGGAAGTAGAGGGAGTGGGAGAGAATAGAAAAAGTTAGTGATTGAGAGAAGAGAATGGAGAAGATGCAAGAAACGAGAAAAAAAGAGTGAGGATATGAGAAACGAGGGAGAAAGGTGGGATATAGGAGAGAAAGTCGAGGATCTGAAGGAGAAGAGAATGGAGGAGGGAGGAGATAGTGGGGTAGGGAGGCTTTTTAACAAATTCCAGAATTTGGGGAAGATGAGGGGGCAAAAAATATGGGAGATTACGGAGTTCATATGTAAAAATCCCTTAATATTTTGCTTAAAATTGCATTTAGCAATCGGAAAGGTCTTGACAGTTTATCACTGTTTAAGCCAAAATGTCGCCGGTATCGCTTTTCAGGCTCAAGTGGTAAATGAGCGTCACTTTATAGACCAATATGATATTTTGGCCTATTGGTATATTCAGTGCTACCTATTTACCAATGTTGTATATTTATTGGCTACAACAACATTAAAGTATAATAAATGTTCATGTTTTACTAATAAGCTTTGTCTTGTTATCGATGGTGAAATTTGTGCCGAACTAAAGGGTTTTTTGCATATATATCACTCAAATCTCCTATATTTGCAAATTTACCCTAAAATCTTGACTTTTTTAAAGGAAGANCTCTCCCAACTCATCTCCTCCCCCTCCTTCGCGTCCGTCTTCCAACATCACTTCCCTCCTCTCTCTTCGCTCTCTTCTTCACCTCCCTTATCTACTGCATCACCTCCCCTTATGCCGAACACGACCATTCCCTTCATGGTTTACCACAGGCTCCGACCCTCTCACCTATCCTTCGTCCTTCTCTTTTTCGGCCTCCCCTCTCCACTTCATTCCTCCACATCGCTACCCTCCAATCCAGCTTTGATGTTGACACATTTGTCCAAATAAACCTTATTGCTCCTTCGTCAAGTCTCAGTCTCGAAGGAGTGGATGAGGGAAGTGAGGAAAGGAGTGAATGAGGGGATAGGGAGTGATGGTGGAGGGGAGTAGGAGGGCAATGAGGGGGAGGAGATGAGGTGGGAGAGGTGGAGAGAGGAGAGGGAGAGGTGAGCGAGAGCGATTGAGGAGTGAGAGATCGTTTTTCATCAAAAATGAAGATTTTGAAGTAAATTTATAAATATGAGAGATTTAAGGGGTATATATGCAACAAAAAATATTAACTTGGCGTTCAAATTTCATCGTAGGCGACTGGATAAGTCTTATGGGTTAAACGGGCTCACTTTTATACCTTATTCACTTTTTATACCTTATTGACGCTGGAGCCACTAAAAACACCTTATTGGTAAATAGGTGTCACTAGATATACCAGTCTGGTAATTTAGCCAATGTTTATCTATTTCCTCAAGTCTCAAGCCATACAAACCACATAAAAGAAAGATTTTTTTTGTCATATTAGACCCCCGAATCTTTGTTAATTCTATATTAAATCTCCATCAATGTTACAGAATGTGCTAGGCGGACTAGACATTTAAGCCAACGCCTAGTGCCTAGGGGTTTGACTATTTTTAAAATTATTTAATTATAATAATTGATAAAAATATGTATCAAATTCATATAAATTTATAAAAAAAGGAAAAGAAAAAAGATAGCAATCCTAGATCCACAATAAACCATGCGTACTTAAATACTAAATAGTCAAAATAATAACGAATAAGGTTATAGAAAGCACTAGGAGGTGTAGGCATTGGATCTGACGCCTAGAGCGTAAGAGATTTTTTTATTTTCTAATTACAATAATTGATATTAAATGTTAATGTTATAGAAAGCTTAGGTGTCGGACTGATGTCTAGGCGAATTTATTTCTTCATTTAAGTGGTGGTCGAGGAGGTTTTGTAGTAGGTCAGAGGAGGTAGTGCATGTGTTCACATTTGGAGGTTAAAGGAGCTTGGAGGAGGTTAGAGGACGTGGATGCTGCAACATAGAAAATCGCGATCAATGCCTAAATTGTATAGTCCACATAAGTAGACAATGCTCTCCTAACACCCAAAATTTAGGTAGGCAGCCTGGGTATTGCCCAGGCGTTAGGCGCTAGTTAAGTGGCCTAGGCGGAGGCTTTTTAAAACAATGACCCCCATATTTACATAGTTCTAAATTAGAGTTTAAAATACACCAAGTTTTTTTGCATAACACCC